AGCACAGTCTAAATAAATGTTACATTCATATCTAATAATGAAATCATACAGTAAATGTTACACTTTACCTTGAAAAAATATGAATATAACATGATGGGGGAGAAGGGTGATGTTGAGGCTGAGGAGTCATGAAACATCAAGCTTTTCTTCAAGTGTTATAGCCTTTCTTTTACGATCACCACCGGAAATGCGATCACCAGAGTGCTTCCCAGAGATATTCTTCTTTTCCATAGTCACAAAATTGGAGAAACAGTAATCAGAATTCACTGAGGACACTTAAAAACTTCACCTGTTTCAAACAGTGTGGAGTAAACAGAGAGCGCGGGTCTAAAACGCTATGTATTTTGTTTTTCTCTTATTTAAAACTTTACATTTTACATATACTGTACAGGTATACTGTATACATAAATATTACATGAATTATTTCTGCAATTCTTCACAAACAAAACACGTAAATTAATTGAACATGTGATGTCGAACGTGAACTGTAAACACTGCATAACCCCGCGCCAAGCCACAATGTACAGTACACTTTAAACGCTACTTATTTTGTTTTTCTCTCTTATTTAAAATTTTACAATTTACATATACTGTACAGGTATTTCTTCACAAACAAAACACATAAATCAATTGAACAAGTGATGTTGAACGTGAACTGTAAACATTGAGCCAAGCCACAACACTGTACAGTACACTTTAACACTTTAAACGCTACGTATTTAGTTTTTCTCTTTTATTTAAATTTTTACAATTTATATATATATATATATATATATATATATATATATATATATATATATATATATATATATATATATATATATATATATATATATATATATATATATATATATATATATATAAATTGTAATTTACATATTATTCATATTATGCTAGAGCGCCCACAAAACATGAGAAACGTTTGAGTCCCCCAGTAGAGATGTCCGTTCTCTATCCACTCCAGGATGTCCGTTTTCTTTTTGTGTACTCGCTCAGGGACTCAAGTATTTCTGTATATGACACAGGATGATAAGGAATTTGAATTTATTTGTTTATTTATTTATATATAATATACTGTAATATATTAAATATACTGCAAGTATTTTCTTTAATTTATATACGTGTTTCGCGAAAAAGGGAGGCTACATTTATGGTGATCGTTAAGGACCAAACTCCGAATCCATGACGTGACTTCTGTTCATTATTTATATCCTAAATTTACCACTGTAGGTAGTTTCAAGAATTAATGCAGTCATTTACTGAATATTCTTTGCAAAAAAATAAATTTTAAATGAAATATTTATAAGAGATAAGTATTATGATCAGTAAATATACAGATATGCATTACGGACCACCTCCGAACACAAGGACGGCTAAAAATAGCCACAGGCGGTCACAGTCAAGGACACTTTCCCTTTCTTGTCACTGGCAAATGGGGGTGGGGGGGATGATAATAGCAGCTGTGTTTATTACGGTATGTTAGACTGGTTTATAATACATTTTTATTATTTTAATATACCGGTAATCTTCATTTTAATCCAGCTTACCAAACGTAAGTTTCAGTATAAAATAATTAGTGGTACTGTAGGACCTTGTGAGTGGTTTAACTGTATACATAAATATTACATAAATTATTTCTGCAATTCTTCACAAACAAAACACATAACTCAATTGAACATGTGATGTCGAACGTGAACTGAAGCCACAACAACCGTTCGAGTGGAATCGCGTTAGAGCAAACGAGTTCGCGTTTCACAAATATCGTTCCTCAATTCATAAATCGCGTTCGAGCAAATTCGCGTTGTCAAAACACGCGTTATAGTAGAACTCACTGTACACAGCACCACTTACACGTGTCTGATGCTTGGGTCTCACTCTTGCATGAGCCAACCCACCCACCACTGTTTGAGAAAAATATAAATAAAATCATTACGGTAGGGGGATTATTCTAATGTGGCTCAGAAATAAAGAAAATATAAAACTACTGTATAAAATAAGAAAAATGAAGAGCATGGGTGTGTATGTGTGGGAAGTGAATATTTGTGTGTGGAGGCAGTTAACTGTAACTGCATAGACGACTTACCAGTCTGCCTCCTCCAATATGAGTCAGCTGGGTGACGTGACACATCGCCCAGAGGATGGTTGGAGTGTGGAAGGAGCATTTATTTGTACAGTCGGGGTAAAAAGAACTGTCGCCTCTCCTGCTGCTCTACGAACAACAACGCCTCTCCTGCTGCTCTACGAACAACAAGATTCAGACTGTGAACCCAAAGCAGGAGACGGATGCAATATACTATCCACGGAGGCTTCGGGTTCACGAGTCTGAATCTTGGGGTTGGTGGAGCAGCATGAGTGGAACAGGACTTTTGACTCCAACTGTACATTAAAATAATATAATGTAATGTACAAGTAAATGTGATTAATAAATAAAATAATACAATACAAAAAACACTTAAATTTAACTCACCGCATATGTTGTCGAGTGATGCATGAGGGGAGGTTTTATCCAACGTAATTCCTTTATGGAATATTTTACCACTACTGCTTTCACTTGCACTTGATGGCATCTTTACACTCATCTTGAATAAGGGCAATATACTGGACAGTCTTGAATAAGATAAGTACTTAAATGTTAAAAGATCAAGCATACATAGCAACACCTAGTCGGCATGGGTATGCCGGGGTACCCACTCTTGGTTGTAGCAAACACCAAATAAATTTTAATTTTTAATTTTCTTTTTTTTTATACGTACAGTACAGTAAACCCTTATTAGCAGGGATTAGGTTCCAAGGAATGTCACAAATAGGCAAAACTGCTCATAGCAACTTATACTACATTAGTGCACTACTGTATACCTATACCAAACCAGCCAACCAGCCACGGCAGCACTCATCCACTCTTTTTAACTTCTAATAATTTGACTTTCTTTGTCAGGGTCATCACTGACGTCTGCCTTATACATTTCACTCCACTAGCACTGACACTAGGCAGTCATTTAGGGGGGCCATTTCACACAGAAACACCAAAGTTTTGAGAATACAACACGAGATGCTGCATGGCAGGAAATGGTTGAGCGCGAACAGGACCAGGACAGCAGATGCTGCGGGCACGTGGGGTGACTTGCGCTGCGGGCAAAGGCTCACACGCTAACCACCATCTGCTTACTGCGAATCGACGAAATCACGAATCGCAAACCCACGAATGACAAGGGTCTACTTGTATCAAAATTTGTGTTAAAAATTTACCCCTTCCTAAACGCTGAATTTCCGAGCCGTATCCCAAATTGGGTAGTCATAATTTACAAAATCTGTTTGGGCAAATTTCCACAACCTGAATTTCCGTAATGTGGTGAATACCTGTAGTTTATCTAAAAGTTTGGTTAAATAAATATAAAAAAACAGAAATCTGTAAGATGCAGGCATTCGAGGTGTGGACGGAGCTGTGTGCCACAGGTGAGAGTGGAATTTTCAATCCTGCGCTGGGGAAGTTTTCCCCAGTCTAAATGATGAATCACACATGGAGTGGTATTTATTTGCACAAACACCGCTGTACACTTACCATACAGTATATTGTAAATAAAATATTGTAGATTACTATTGTATACAGTATACTGTACTTGCCAGCAGATACTGTCATCTTGAGACCACAGAAGGCATACTGTCTACTCTGTTGAATGTAATATGTAACTCATCACTTTTTTACATCTTAACAGTTGCAATGGAGGTGGGGTGAAAGATTTGTGGGTCTCAGGTCACCCATTGTATTATAAACTCTTCTCTCATTTGTGGTGGTCAGTGGTCCTGTATTACTGACCTAATGCAATGTCAGGTCATCCACTGTCAGGGTAGGAGATTAGTGGGTTTCATGACCTGAAGATGTCTTGAATAAAGATGAAAGGTAAGGTGCTCCAGTGTTTCCTGCTTACTGAATGTAAAGTACAGTACTGTATATGTAACAACATTAATCCGTTTTTACTTCATAACACTGGTTTTCTTGGCAAATTGTGTCCTGGTACAGTAATGTGTAGCACAGTACTGCATAATACAAATTGTATGCAAAAACAGCAGATATCGAGAGAACAACCTTCTACAATGGCAGCAGAATATGAACTAAGCAATCCAAGTAACTAGGCCACCCTCATGCCTGGCACTTGGGGATGCATTGGAGCATGATGCAATCTCTCCGAACTCCAGGAAAATCTATTCTCGGGCCGACGAGAGGTTTGGGGAGATTTTCTTGGAATTTTGCCAGAGAATGCATGTGATTTTCATCCTAAGAAATTTGTTCACATACCCGGAATGGAGAGTTTTCCCAGAAATTTTCCAACCGATTTCATTCCCGGCTGTTGGAGAATTCCGAGATCCCGGCCAATGGGGAGATTACCTCATTCACCATCCAACTTCAAAGGTGTCTTGCCAAGCAGTTTTCAGACCTGAACACAAGATTTAAACAAATCAACATTTAGTCAAGATGACAAAAGTCTTTAAAATCCCTATGCATATTTCTAATGTACTATTTCCGTTAGCCGGAATCCCTCTTAACTGGAACTCTACGATAGCCGGAATTAAAATTTTCTTGTTAAATTGTTTCCAAAGCCGAATTTTTCTGGAAAATTCAGGCTTTGGAAAAAATTTTCTGGAAAAGTCAAAACATTTGCCCAGTACCCGGAAAATTCCAGGGATTTTTTTTCCAAGTTTGAGATAAAAATCATGCTCATTTTCGGGATATTCCGAGAATCTTTTTTCCATTATTCTGAAAATACCTGGGATGGGGGATATTTTTCTAGGTTCGAGAGGTGATGTAAGGTGCAATTTCTGCAACTTCCGAAATAATTTTTCCGTTACCCAGAAAATTCAGGAGGAAAGGGATTTTTTTTCCGGCTTTGAGAGTCGTCTCGTTACCTGGAAATCTCATTCCCGGAAGTGCTCTGCACCAATTGTTCCGGCTAATGGAGATATAACTAACATCATTCCCAACAAGGTGAAGTAAACAATTTTCATACAGTCAAACAAAATACTTTATTGAAATTCTCTAGGTTAGCCATTACAGCATTCAACAAAACTTGCGCCATGAAAGACGATAAAATCTTTCTAAATATTTCTTTGTGAAGGAATATTAAGAATAAAAATAAAAAACTAAATAAAATGTATCCTTAAGAGTATGATTTGGATAGCAGATATGATCAAATTCACTGATAACATAAAAATCATGGGGCCATTCCAGTATATAAAATACAACAAAAAGCAAATACTAAACCTTGTGGATTACAAAATGGAAGCTGATTTAGTTAATGTCACCTCACCGTGGAATTCCTTCTTAATAGTATAATTGTTTCTTAAACACATGCATTAATTTTTTTAACAAAATTAAACATTTCTTTTGCAGGTACTCAAGCAAGTTTTAAAATAAATAATTAACAAATCTTCAAAAATCTATCTGGAAAAACATGCAACAAGACATAAAATTACCCCAAATCTTTAGCCTAATTTCATTTCAATGAAAACACAGCAAGACAATATTGATAAACACTGCATCAATTCGAAATTTATTCTGTTTATGTATGCATGCAAGTACAGTATGCATGAGGTATCAACAACTACATCAGCTTTCATTAGTTTAACTTATTACATGTTCTTCAGATCTATCGAGACTTTTTCTTAATCTTTGGTAATAAACTAAACATAAAGTGAAGGTGACCACAGTGTATATACATACCCATAAGAACTAGGAATAGAAACAGGGTAATGTCAATATATCCTATTGGAGACATAAGAAATTTAGAAAAATAAACACTTAAAATTTGTACACACTCCCTACTTTGTGTATGCCATGTTTGTTGACCACAGAGATTCTAGGATTAATTCCTTAACACTGGCCTAACTAACCAGTAACTCTTGGTATGAATATAAGAGACACCACTATCAATTAGCTTGGAATGGTCCCTTCACCAGCCTGCTTTGTTGGCAAGTAGAATTAATATGTATAATCAACAAAGGGCCAGCAGGTTAATTAACAGAAAAAAAAAGATAAACAAGACGACATTGGGCACCAATAATTTGGGTTAGGGAACAAAGGTGGAATAAATATTAAAAACCTAAACCCTATGGAAGTTTCCAGAAAAAAATATATAAATAAATACAGTATATAAGATTTGGGACATCAAAAATCAGTTTTCTGGAAGGATATTCAATCTGGTAACATTTGGACAGATATATTTCAGGGTATATATTTGCTAAATTAAATGAAGGGTCAAGGAAAGGCATTGGATAGTTCCTTGTTGCTGAAGAGCAGCAACATAACTTCCTAAGACATGAGATAAGAAGTGATGGGAGCATAACGTAGGTGTTTCTGACGGTGCCAGGAGGACCGAGTGCCTCAACGCATCACCAAATAGTCCTGCAGCAAAGGTGCGTCTTAACACATCAACAATGAAGGTGGGCCAGGGGGGACGCAATGTCCTTACTGATCTGTAGCTGGTGCTTCACTGTTCCCCAGCCAACATCTTGGAAGACCAACAAATCCAAGCAGTTAATGCTTGGTCTCGGAGCACTGAAGGGTGCATTGTGGGGAGGACAGTTTATGGCATTTGTTAAATATCAACAAAAAACAGACAAAAAATAAACAATTTAAATAAATAATGGTGCCAAGATGATCTAGAATCAAGAGAAGCTGACCCTACTGTGCTTTTACTATAGGAAAATCAACACTCCCCGTGGCCCACCTTACTACAATATCAGGTTAACAAGAGGTTAAAACAAGTCCAATATTGATTCTGTAACAGCTCTCATATACCAAAATAAAAGGAAAACTTTTTGAACAACTGACAGACATGGCATATTTTTTCTTGTGTTAGACATGGTTATATGAATATATAATGCATTTGCATACTACGGGACCATTAAGTGGGTAACATGAGTTATGTATGACTGTAATTGACACACTTGGACCTTAAACAATATCAACATGGTTACAAACACAGATCTCTACAAAAGCTGCCGTAAACACTGTACACAGAGTAGTTACTGGCACCGCCCTGGCCTGGTTCAGGGGGCGGCAAAGTCAGGACGAGCACAGCAAACTTCCGGGGGTTATGATCAGCACTGACTAAAGTCTCCCTGGCTAAAGTGACCCACTTTTAAGTACACATTTTGATTAATGTAACACTTGGAAGAGGGGGACTTGCTCGTCCTGTCTCTGGGTTCTGGTCATGACACTTTTTCCTGATGCTTTGGACTAGGCACAATAATAATTAACTACTGCTTTGTGAACAGAAGAGGTTCATATAGCAAAAATAGCAACACACATCTGGTGGGCATGCAGGAGACTGGGCAGTGAGTAAAGCTATAGACAACAGCTGACACCCACGCCCAGCCCAGGGCCCAATCTACAAGCAGCGCTACTACAAAAGTAACATGATACAAACAGATAGAAAAAACAGCAAAAATAGTGGAATGTTTCATCTCTTGGTAAGTAGTCAACGTGTCAACAGCAGAGAACTGGGTTATGATACTCTTAACGTTAGTAGAAAAGCAGAGGGGCGCAGGGCGGGTCAAGACGGTGCAAGGCATAATACTGGTGGCCGCCCTACCCCCTCCGTCTGGGCCCGCGGGCTCGCCAACCCACTGCCCGCCCACACACTACATATTCTTTTGGACTGTAGAAAGGTGAAAAAATAGACTTTGGAACTTTTTTTTTAAGTAGATACGAACGAAGTCATGCTTCAGAAAGGCCAATGTAAGTGAAGAAATGATCAAACTTTGTTATAGTGTCCCAATTTATCACTTGATGTATTGTGACTTAGGGGTCACAGATGAAATGTGGCTCCAGGCATGGGCTGTGGCACTGAGGAAGGATAAACATTTCAAGAGTCAACAACTGGAATGTTGGCTGCAAAAATCAACAAATACCTTCTAGGTAATTTGCCAGGTAACTTTTGTGCATCTGCCAGAGGACTGTGGCATTTCATCTGGACCGACAGGGACAGTCCGAGAGTGAAAGACGAAGGGGAAGCCCCCCTCAGTACTACACTAAGTCCGCCTTAACTTATGGGTTGTTGATCTACACAGCACAGCGAGCACTAACTAGAAGTGGCAAGCAACTGCCCAACCACACATGTATACACATCCTGGAGCTCTGCACACAACAAACTTTTTAGAGCAGCTACCTCAACAACCATATAGGGCACCAGCTCAGTCACCAGGACTATGATGTGTGGAGGGCAGCTACAAGCCCCGCACCATTGATGCCTTATGCCACCAGGACAGGCCCAGCAAAACCAGAGACTGGTTGGCTAGCTGGGCCCTGACTAGTCTACTGAGGGACCCAGGTAGCTGGAGGGATCTGACAGCTCCACTAGTGTCTACACAGTAGTATCAACAAGAGATATGTATTGTCCAAGCCATTCAGTGCTCCCTTGCAACACAGTGATTGGCTACAAGAATTTGAAAGGTAACATTAAATGCTCTTGTGCTACCTAATACAGTCTACTAATTGGCAGCTAAATTTTAGGCGCTGCACTGAACACAGATGTTGATCCATCATTCACTGTATTGGGAAAGCAAGCATTACCACAAAGGCCGTGTATGTGCTGTCAACACCTCTATTATGCCATATAGAGTGATGATAAACAATTAAGTACAAGCCGACATTTCACTAACAGCCCACGTCTAATATGCCAGGTGGAGGATAACAACCAGGTACAAAGCAAACTGCTTCCTCTTTGTGACAAAACAAGACAACAAATTATTTTCACTATATACTACACAGGAAGCTTTAACTTTTTAATCTTATTTGAGTAATTGGCTAGTACATCACAAAAAATTATAACGCCAGTGAATGAATAAAGTTTCAACAGTTAAATAAGCTTAGTTTATCAACAGTTAAACAAGCTTAGTTTATCCAGCATCGTACTACCACTCTTTATGGCCAATTTCTGAACACTGAAAATGAACAACCGTGTTGATATCATATAACAAAATGTGATTCTGCGGTTACATTCAGTCTACACGTCAGACCTGCTGTCGGTTGCAGAATTCCACCAATTCTAAATTACACTTGTGCCCATTAAGTGTTACCACAGTAATATTACAAAATTACAGACTTTGTGCCAGGAATCTGCAACCTTTGGTCAGTACAGAAGCTCCATACCCGCCTGAAGCAGAGGTGTGTGTGGCACAATCACAACACAATCACGACCTTAAGGACTACAACACCGCACAACACTGGTAAGGCATGATCTTGGGGAAAGGTCACAAGTTGGTTTAGTTATTATCAGCCATCCTAGATAGGGTTACAACAGGTTGAGCTTTGTATTACACTACTTGAAAGCAGATACAAAAAAGGCAAGAGAGGGAATAGTGATTACAACAATGGTACTCAACTTCTACCTAACATAGTGAGCTAGTCTAGATATATATCAACAGGTAAGGGCATATTAATCCGGTTCACACCACAAAGACAGGACCTACGAGTGCCGGCCCATGGAGCCAGACTCTAGGATGTGGCTGGCAGGTACCTGCTTGTGGTTGTAGTGCTTCATTACTACAAGGACAGAATTTGATTTCTGTTCTACATATGTGTTTCAAGAGTTCACACAGTTGTTAATTCATATTCTAACTGTCAACTGTAGAAAACATCACCAAAGTTATAGTATCACCTGTAATTTAATTTGGCCCCCAGGTTTTTCTCATGTGTTTGTTGTTTCACGAAAGTTATCTTCCCTTGCAACTACAAAGATAAACATTTCAGGCATTTGCTTCCTCTGACTTTGATTGTCACACTTGGGAAAAATTTATAAAAGCAAATCTGGTCAGGTTAAACATCTCTAGAAACACCAGTAACTAATTTTGATATATATTCCTAAGCAAACAGTGTGAAAAGGGTATAACAAGTGAATAGCAAACTTTTGGATGGCTTAACATGTAACTTGTCAATAGTATCGACTTTCTTTAAAACAATGAACGTTTCCATTTTGACTAATGGAATACCTGTAAAAAGGAACAAAATTTCCAGCCTTCAATAAAATGAAATTAAAATCTTTCTCATATACATAAATAAGAACACCAGACCTCTCTGACAAATAAAACTATTGGCTCTTGCTGAGCCATGGAATTGGCCGACTGGCCGACTTCTGTATGACTGTTTCCTGGCCACACTGTTTGTTACTGACCCCAAAGTGTTGGGAGACTGGCTGGCGGGTACAGTCCCTGGTAGCCTTGTGCTATCCGAGGTCCCCTACTACCCGGCCTTCATGCACACCTTGCCTGTAGCTCTCATGCACAATTCCTTACAACTAACAAATGCAATAGAACAATAATGGGCGAGTTCTTCAACTGCGGCTAAAAGATACAGAGCCACACCCGAGACAGACTACCACTACGGGGTAGAGGAGGGCCACAGATGCCGCTGCTTGGTCAGTGGTGCTCCACTCCCAAATCTCAACACTTCAATAAATTACTGCACATAAATATGAAAAGCACATAAATATGAAAATAAAGGAAACTTAAACAAAACCAAAACAAGATACCATGAGCAGGATATCCAAGGAACAAAACTTAAAATCCTTAATGGCACAACTTAAGATTCTAAGAGCAACAAATAGAAAATTTTGAAATAAACTCTTAAAACCAATTGAATAAGTTATGTACATGACTATTGGTAGAGTGAGAAAATTGAAAATAAAATAAAAAAACCTACTTGTAACAAAAAATTAAAATAAATAAATGTAATAGCGACTTGTCAACAGGTATCTAAGCCCATTATATGGTAACTGCCTGATACCCAAGTACACTGGTAACTGGCAACTAAGCCTACAAATGAGGCCTCAGCCACTTTTTGACTAGGGGGGCAGATTTGGGCTTGGCATCTGCCCCTGGGAGTACAAATAACTGCAACCACGTATTAAAAATAGACTATATGAAGGAACAGTGACAACATGGGACCTTCCCTCCTACCCAGAGGGTCAACACCTGATGCTATGAGGTGGGAGGTGAGGTCTTTACAAGAGGTTAGTGTCCTGTCACTTGTGTGTCACACTTGTCACAGTGCTAAACAAGATACAAGGTGCATTCCTTGTGGCAGTAACAGCATTCGTTCCACCATCTATGCTGTTCAGATTCCCACCTTATAACCAGACTGGAAAGTGCACCAGTGTGACTGTAGATGAGAAGTGGCACCGAGGATCTCACATGTGTGGAGGCGGCACCTGAAGATACCGGTATACGTACAAACGGTAATCTTTGGAGGCCAAGACAACAGAGCCGTCATCCATTAATGCTACGTCAAAGCACTGGGCGTGCTTCACCTTAGACTCATATGCCGACACCAGCTGTCCATCTTGGGTGAAGAGCGTAAGGTTAAAGTTGTTGTGGTTATCAGCAATCAAAACTTCTCCCTGGCTGTTAATGCCTACACCAATTGGATAATTGGTGATTCCTTCGCCACCAATTTGACGAAGATACTGGCCCTCATAGTTGAAAACCTGTAAACAAATTAAAATTAGCAAAAAGTATTGAAAAATTATTAATAATCAGCAAGTTGATAATTATAATACACAATGCAAAAGATGCGAAGAAAACCTGCGAATAAAGAAAGATGACAAACTGGAACTTTAGTTAATAGCAAATATCTGACATGCAAGGAAATGAACGAATAGCAAGGAATGAACAAGTAAAACAATACTGAGACGAGAATGATGGTAAAATATCATCAATAACTGGCTGATGTATCTCACAGCCCATCTCTTCAAACTCTTGAATCATGACACTCTTAGTTCATTGTCTGTTGCCATTGTACAAGCTTGTTCGATCGCTCATTGCGGTTTTCACGTACACTCTGTGTTGTGCAGTACTGTACCAGCATATAATCAGCCAAGAATACGGTTAAATCAGTGTGAAGTTGTAAACAAATTTAATCTACACATACTGCACCGTACATTCAGAAATCATGAAAGTACCATAAGTACAGTACTGTACTGCACACAGCAAAGTGGACTGTGTATGCCTACTGTATGCTAATGTGTAGTGGGTGTATATACAGTAAAAAGTGCATGTACAATTCTTTCTTCATGGAGGGAGTGAAGAGGGACAGTTAGCAACACCTGTTACAGGAGGTGGTACAGGATTAAGACTAGTCATCTTGTGTTATATCACTATTTGGACAGCCTGCATCACAAGCTCAAGACAACAGTATCTGCTGCCAAGTACAGTAATGTATACTGTACAAGAGTATTTGTGTGCATATACAGTGATGTTTGCATAAATAAACACAACTCTGTTTGTGCGAGATGCATAGTTTATACTCTGAAAACATTTTCCAGTACAACACCTGTACCCGGAAAAATACCTCGGACGAGAAAATTCGTCTCCATACCCAGAAATCTCAATTCCAGAACAGCTCTGCACCAATTATTCCAGCTAACAGGGGTTATCATTGTACTGTATCCATACAGTGTGTATGTGGCATGATATAAAATACTTGAAAAAAAAATAGTCAGTGGATGAGAAAAAATATTTGGTGGATGATGTAGGGAAGTGGAGAAGCAATGAAGGAGAAAAGGACACGAGACATGAGGGATGAACTTCTAGAAGCAGTAAATGAGTAAAGAGCATGGTAGTAGAAAGTATATTTTTTGGGGGGGAGGAAGGCAATTATGTACAGTCTTTATAACTTGTAGCAAGAAAGGATATGCTGCTTATGATGAATATGGCTTTTTTGAAGTGAAAAGGTATACAGTACCATATAAAATTCAGGATATCCAATTCGTGCCAAACATCATCTTCAAAGTTAAAAATTAATTAACAACAATTAAGAGAAATTGTGTGTGTTTGCTCTTGTTGCTGGCCATCCTGCATTAAGCAAAAGGGAAGGACTGATTCTGCTGCTTTTCCTATTTTATTCCTCTTATTAATATACAGTACATTACAGTTATTATGGCAGTCATCACTTCTCTAATGATATCAGTGCTTGAAAAAATTATGAAGTACAGGATGTGTAATGTTACCCTCATTCATTATTTAAATGGATGGAGCAGTGAGAGGGGTAAAGGCACGAGAAATGGAGAGGGGTGTAAATCTGATTGAAATAAATGAGAAAGAAGTCGGCTGTTTTGCAGATGGAACTGCCCTGATGGGCGATTCATAAAAGTTGCAAATGTTATGAATGAATTTGGTAGTGGATGTAGCTTACGAAGATTAATAATGAATGTGGACAAAGGTAATAAAAATCAGTAGAGAAGTAAGGTGGGGAAATGGTGGTCATTATGAGTGTGGGAGTATGGGCGATTACTATTGTTATCTAAATAGAATGGAATGTTCGAGACATTAGATTCAGGCAGAGAGAGAGAGAGAGAGAGAGAGAGATCTATATATATATCTATATCTATATCTATCTATCTATATCTATCTATCTATCTATCTATATATCTATCTATCTATATATCTATCTATCTATCTATCTATATATCTATCTATCTATCTATATCTATCTATCTATCTATATCTATCTATCTATCTATCTCTATCTATCTCTATATCTATCTATCTATCTATCTATCTATCTATCTATCTATCTATCTATATCTATCTATCTATCTATCTATATCTATCTATCTATCTCTATCTATCTATCTATCTATCTATCTATATATATATATATATCTCTCTCTATATATATATATATATATATATATATATATATATATATATATATATATATATATATATATATATATATATATATATATATATATATATATATATATATATATATATATATATATATATCTATATAGATAGATAGATAGATAGAATGATAGCTGCAAGGGGAATAAGCAAAACAGAAATGACAAGACGTGTTTGAATGTAGTGTGTGGGAAGAAGACCAAGTAGAAAGGACGTATTAACTATGAGAGGACAGGCAGAAACAGTATACAAGAATGGCTGAAAACCACAACATTAAGTGATTTTTGAGTGATGCTAGTTTGTGTGATATAGAGGGAGGTGGGGGAGTAGCATACTTGAGTAAAACACATTCTGTTATGGCAGTTAAGAGAAATAATGACATGGGTGATGGAAGAGTATGTCTGCTCTTCATTCTGGTCAACCTCCAGCATACTAAAAATCTTGCTAGGTTGAAAAATCTATTGTGAAATCTGAAGATTGTTTTTTTTTGTGCCAAGTTTTTCATGTGAAGTTAAACCTTATGGACTAACACAATACAATAATTACATAAATCCAGATGACACTGGCAACTGGGTAAAACAAACCTCTACATTACTACAGCACTTCTTCCCTGGATGGGATACACTGCCAATGTTTGTTATTACACTTATTACAATACAGTACTTGCTTTAAATTTTAAGTTCAAATAATTTAAAATAAATAAATATTACAAAGCACAAGCAATAATATAAGAGAACAGCTGTGAGAGGAATATGAAGGAGGGGAGAAAAGAATTGGATTAAAGAGGATGGCTGGAGGGAGTAATACAGAGTCCATTTTTATTTAAATTAGTCAACAACATGGCAACCAGACACCTATTCCCCAGAAAGTCTAGTAATCTGTTTATGCCTGAAACGTCCTGTTTGAAGTACTCTAGTTGGCACTTCCAGCCTTGCCCTTCCATTACCATCTTTGAAAATTAAGTCATTCTCTTCAAAGTGATGGATAAAATCATCAGTACAACTTTAACAAGTTCTTTGACATGTGTTTACTTTTTATGTACAGTGTACTGTACAGGTGTACTATACCTGGAGACCATTCTGTTACCCTAATTTTTTATTACCTGGTCATTCCCAGGTCCCAATATTATTCAGATATAATGTTGTTGACTGTACAGAGACTCTTCAAGATAATCTTACATCTCATACAATATATACTGTACTAGTAAATAAGATTTTTATTTAAGTTACTACGGTATTCCTTTGATCTCATTTAAATTTACTCTATTCACCTGACTTAAATCATGCAAAGAGATGATGATGATGATAATGACAAGTGATAAGAATAGCAATCAATGAAGTTATAATGGTGATAAGGCAAAGATACTGATTATCAAAAATAATTGAAAGGATTTACCTTGACACAGTGAGCACGGTTGTCCGAGATGAAGATTTCTTGCTTGTCATTCACCACAACACCGTTGGGGAATTCCAGGTGGTTAGGACAGTTAAACTGATGAAGAACAGTTCCAAACTGATCGAAGATTATGACCCTCATCACTTTGCACTCAACAACGATGATGCGACCTTTGTGATCAACTGTAACACCTCGTGGGTAGCACAACGTATTTGCTCCAAACTTCCGCACAAACTGTCCATACTGGTTGTAGATTTGGATCTGATGTGTGGGTGAACGCTCTGTCACAATGATGTCTCCGCTCGTGCGTACGACAGCTACACGGTTTGGATAAAGCAACTGGCCATCACGCTTACCACATTCTCCAAACTGGAACTTGAAACGACCCTCCTTATCAAAGATCTGAATCCTGTGATTATTGGTATCTGCAACAATTATGTCATTTTGGGCATTAACAGCCACACCACTTGGTTCAGTAAACTGACCCTCCAAGACACCAAATTCCCCAAACTTGCAGTGATAAATCATCTTCTGACGTTTGATCTGCGAGCGAGGAGGAAAGATGGAACAGGAGAGGAGCTTATGAGACAAATCATGAAGAACTGGATCTGGGGCACTCACACCATTTACCTGCTCCTGGCTGAACATGCCTTCACCCCCACAACTCCATTTCTCATATGAACTCAAACCATTCATGTTCATGTCTCCCAAGCTGGTTGAGAATGGCCCCATGGACTGTGATGAGCTAAATCTCTTGGACAATAATGAAGACAGTTGGCTGTTGCTGTATGGACGTTCGAGCATTCCGTTTAAGTTACCATTTATGCCGTTGTTCAATCCACCTGTGAGTCCATTGGTCAGTCCATTGGTCAAGCCATTAGCCAGTCCATTACTAAGACTAGTGGATAATCCAGAACTTAAACTAGTGGTCAAACTTGTGGAAATGCCAGTGGTCATTTGACCATTTGATATGTTTTGGCTGTTTGTCATTTGTTGGCCACTCTGGGGTACTCCATTTAAGCCATTTGAATATGTGTTGAGTCCTGACAATCCATTAAGACAATTGTTAATACTATTCATGCTGCTCACAGAGTTGGACGAATTTGGTCTTGCTATTGGGGGTAGTTTGGAGGGTCCCACCTGGATATCTGAAGATGAGCGAATGTATCCAAATGTATTTCTTACTCCTACTTGTATGGCAGGGAAGTTACTTACAAACTCTAGGTCACTCACATTCTGCATTCCAAGATCAAAATTTTTCCCCATTTGTTCAGACAGCTTTCCTTCGATGAGTTTGCGGAACATGAGTACTTCCGTGGTGTTGGCATACTTCCTCATCTTGTCAACAAAGTCACAAGTGGATAGCAATTTGTCCACACACTCCTGGGCCTTTTGAGCAAATACAGAAAGAGAAACCTGCTTGGCATGATACAACGAATCCAGCTCACGTAAGAGTTCAGATTTGCGTTCTTCCACCATGGTTGTGTAGAAAGTGAAAGTGTCATGAATCTCAGACTGGGCCTTCTCATACTGCTGCTGAAGTCTTGTACTGGAACCTTCAACCGACTTCACACATGTACGCAGATCTGCAGCCCTGCTTCGCCCGCCTTCCATAGCGTGGCAAATCTGATCGAGATGACGAGGTGCAGCATCATTTAGGGCCTCATATTCATGCAAACCCTTGGGGTGATCCAACAACGTGCAGTCAAGACAGATGGGGGCACTACAAGTTACGCAGAAGTATTTGAGAGGTTCCCCTTTATGCCGTAAGCAGGTCACAGGCCTTTCATCACGCTGGGCAAGCTCAGCCAGGGTCACTACGCGGTGTCCTTCAAAACAATGCATGAACTGATGAGCCATAACACAGTGTGGGCAGAGGAGTTTGGCACAGTCCAAGCAACGTGCCACAGCAGCTACGTCACGACTCTTGCACGCCGTGCAGGAAGCTGGCTCATCCACTGGAGTCTCCAATAAGCGATGTAGAGCGTAGTCTGGTAACAACAGTGGAGGAGGAGCAGTTGTAACAGCCTGACACTGGGGACACACAAGTCTGTCTCCGCCGTCGCACACTTTCTCTAGGCAGCCCAAGCAGAAAACGTGTAGACAGGACAGCACACGGGGCAGCACATACGTGTCGTTACACAGTCCACATACTGTAGCAACGGGAGAGTTGCGTCCAACTGTGGAACCTGAAAAATAAAGCAATCCATCAATATATATATATATTCAATAAAAAGTACAATGAATTCTATTAGATATTTAAGAAACTTAAATCTTCTCAAACAGCAAGTCTGATCTGTTGATAAAGAATAGATAAAGATGTCAAGTAAGCAAATTATGACCTCTACACATGAAAGTTCCTCATTTAGAAACTTTTAAAATAAACTCCAAGTGTGTCATTTTCTATAAACTCAAACTTAAACAGGCATTGCTTTTACACTAGTGAATATAAAGTACAAGTTTAATGGTTATCCTGGTACAGTATTACTAGTTGCACAGAGGAATTAGTAAAAAAAAAAAAAATATATAAATAAATCACAAACATGCATGACAAGATGTGACAGGTATACAGCAATGTACTGTACAGCGCTTCCCCCACTCTGAGACATAAGGACAAGGAGGGCAAGATCAGAGGCCAAACATGAAAACAAAATTAAGTGATTACAGAATCTAAGAACAGGAAAGTAATTAAAGAGTTGTCACAGATAAAAACTATTTTGTGTACTTTAAAATAATAATATGGCAGGATATTAACAAACGAAAATAGGTTAGATTTAAGAAAATTGTCTCTAATAAAATGAATGAGAGAGTTTATAACAGGAACATGCCAGAGTAAAAACAAAACAAATCCAGCTCCATCAAGCTACCTGTGGTAGATGCTGGGGGAGAGTTCTCCAAGGAGCGGGGCGGGTCAGAGTCAATAAGGGAACCTAATGGAGTCCCAGATAGAGACTCTAGTGATGGCGTGGGAGAGCCTACAGACATCCTCACCAACCACCCTCACACAACCTGCAAAGGACAAGATAAATTACAATATTATCATGATCATCCTGCAAAGATGTGTAATGTGGGGGAAGGGAGGAAGGTAATACTGTAGAGAGAAGGAAACAAAATATAATAATCACCAATAAATAATCAAAGTAGTGTTATAAAGGAAGAGGGTGATGGTGCATCAAGATAGCAAGCATAAGGGAGGACAAAACAAAGACAAGAATGATAAGAACTCGGGAGAAAGGTGGTTAAGATGAGGATGAATAGAAATACTACAGTAGTTAGACAAGACACACGGCACTAAAGAGAATGGAGCAAGCCAAGGAAAGATACAAGTAAGAAAAAGGAGGATAAAAACAAGGAGCAAATATTACATGGAAAGAGTAAAACTATAAGGAAGGGAATGAGAGATACGGAAGGGGAGGGCAAGGCTTGTAGCACCAAACATAATGCAATATTCACAGCCTGACCTTTTACACCCTCTGCTAGGCTCCTGGTCAGCACCAAAGAAGGCACACCCTTACTCCACCTACACCCAGCCTCATCCACCCACACGAACACAAAAATACATTCCATACTCACATTACAACATGCCCGAAGCCTATACAAGCCAAACTTCAAAATGAATGCATAAACTGCTGTAGGTGTAAGTTGTGTGACATAACAGGGATCTTGGCAACAGCAGCTAGACTAGTCTAACCAGTGTATCAAGAGCCCTGCAAGTCATGAAGGATCTTACTGAAGGGGGTTAAAAGCAATGAAAATACTGTATGTTAATAAATAAACATACCTAAAATAAAGCAGAAGGAAAATGATAAATAATGAAATCCTCAGTCACAAATATACTGTAGCTACATACCTACATCACTCCAAGATACAAAAATTGTTGGAGACATCCACCATACAGTGTACAGAGTTATAAGGCTCCTGACTACTGTACGAGGGAGCTGTCAATAACAGACTAAACAGATAATGGTAGTTAAGCCCCCCCCCCCCCAAAATATTAATAAAACTAGTGCTCATTCATTACCAACAAAACAACAAATAACAAATGAGAGGATAGAACAGAGGAAGACTTGACAACAGCAAACTGATAGAATACTGTAATAGGCTTCTGGTAATCAGCAGCAGAATATCACAAGCACTTTGACAGTGTTGGATAACAACGTAAAAAAAAGTTAAGAGTGGAATAATACCTGCACTTTCACTCTTAAAATCAAATAATGCTCAACTGTTTCGCCTATCAGGAATAATGCAGTCATCATTGCTAACACATACTAACACTGTTACAGTACTGGAGAACACCTAGAGAATATTTCAGAGGATTACTTTATTTATAGCTTGGTCCACTGTTGGTAATACAAGCTTATCTTTTTTTCTTAAATCAAACTGCCTGGAAAAAACAAACAAACAAACAAACAAACAAACACGCACACATACCCATTACACATCACTATATGTCTGTAATAAGGTCAAGTCTAACACTAACATTATAATACTGTATATACGACAACTTAAATTACTGCAACTTTTTTTCACTAGTTAACCACAGACGGTTTCAAAAGGTCATCTCCACCTACACGGCACATTAGGTCATACCATATTCAGCAATTTACAAGTTGTTATATTACAGACTGACAGCCTGTGTATCGACTCCTGCCAAGTTGATCTGATACGGTGAAGTTCTCTCGAAATATTCTAAAGGCTGGCCTGTGGGATTTCTTATATTTTCGAAACCTGTGAAAACTTTCTGGTTCTTGAAAAATTTAGTGTATACACTACTGTATAGTATTCTTGGAAGCTTCGTTAATAACTGCATGTGTTCTTTAGTGGGTGTACGGTAATTCACATTCTGTTGTCTCACTTCTATCTCTTCTCTGTGTGACAATAAAATCTGCTTTGTGCAGTATTCTGAATTCTTCATTTACTGGTGCTGTACTGCACAACAAAGATGTTTCAGTTTTCTCCCCTCTACATCATCATCAATTGCATATTAAAAATCTTTGTCTAGACATGGTAATGGATTTCAAAGCAAAATACTTTCCACGTTACATTATGATTTTTTTTTTACTTAACCAAGATAGACCGGGGGACTTGTACAAGATGTATATCCTTTGAAGGACAATATAAGTGATTGAGTTATACTTGACCCATAATGAATCGGTATATCAAAATCTTGTCCGGCCACCAGACCAGCAAGCTTTTAGGTAGGGGGAAATATGATCCTGCCCATAGACAGGGCTAAGGTAAACCAGGGTTATCCCATTTGGATGGGTGCACAGGTTATTTACCCCCTATCACATCACCAGCCTTAGTGAGGGGGACATGGTGTTATGGCAGTCTGGAAGACCAATAGTTTTCATTTGAGCCATGGCTCAAATTAACACTCTTCAGGCAACTGCTCTGCCTTATACGAATCAGTCTAACTGAATGTTTTCTATTTAAGTTCTAGGTGTCTAGTTATGAACCCTAAGGAAGTGTGAGGGTGTCTGAGCCACCTGGCCATAAATTCATCTATGGTTACTGCCCTTATGCAAGGCAGCTCATAACAATCCAACACTAAAACAAAAATGAGAGGGAGACAACAAAACCTCCAAGACTGGACATCCTAACCTAACATCAGCTATGAGATGACTGACCTTGTTCACAGATCTAGTGTTATCAAGAACCCCCCCCCCCATGAGAACCCAGCGCTCTAACACCAAACATATGTCCTGTCAGGATCAATTGTGTTGACATTAAACAAGAGAACTGTGTCGGAGATAAATTTATGAAATACTGTATCAAGATTTTTTTTAAAGGAACCCAAAGAGAATTCCACAGCACCATCACTGAACGTCCTGGTGACATCGCTAAATTTATAATCAACCTATAACCCTTAAAAGATTGGGAGACCAAAACCTTTTATAGAAGCCAAACTTGAAAATGAACCGAGGATGAGGAAAAAATAGGCCTTTCCACTTCACTTCTGGGCCACCTGCAATATATGTAATCAGTCGGTCCCATTCACCTGATAGCCCTGAAGTTTATTTAACACTTATAATTATACTCTATTCATAATTTGGCTTTTCACACACACGTTATAGGTTTCTCCTTAGCTGGAAGATAATGGGGAATATGCACTACCATACCTTTAGCTTACAGATCTGCAACAAGAGTTCTTGTCATGCACCTACAACCCTCTCCCTCCTACACAAACATCAACATCACATCCCTGCTAGTGCGCTCGTCGTTACCCAACAGACGGGTGTTTGTTACCTGTTGAGCAGAGCCACCCATCCACTACATAGCAGAATAAAATGCTCCTTGATCCGGTTCACGATGGTGACAATGCACAATTGTACATACCGTTGTGCGTAATGATACAATATATATCTATCTATCTATCTATCTATCTATCTATCTATCTATCTATCTATCTATCTATCTATCTATCTATCTATCTATCTATCTATATATATATATATATATATATATATATATATATATATATATAAAGGCCACACAAAATAGACCACGTTATATTAAACGTAGCATAGACTATGGATATACCAAGAGCGCCAGTATATAACTGTGAGGTGAGGTGAAGGGAGGTGGTGAACATACTGGAAGCTGTAGAGCGCGTGAATTACAGGAGTGCTTGGCGTTAGGTTGTTTATGGTGGGACAGACGTGCTCGCTTATGAGCTATGCTAGAGTTGTGAAAGAAACTGAAACCACAACACAAACCGTAAAACATTAGGTGTCATTTAATAACTCAACCTAGCAGAGAATTTAGCGTGTACCCTGTAGGTCTTCCTACTGGGGAAAAAAAAAAACTTGTGAAATCATATTTACGCTTACTGGACTGGGGTCCCCTGGTTAATAATTCACACAGATGACATTAAGCCATGAGTGGCCTAGAGACTTAACAGTTAATGATTTTCACGACATGTTAACAGGTCCTTCTGTACAAGGGTGAGGCTGACTGGCACTATGGTACAGCTGGCCTCAGTGTCAACCTACTCCTACAGGAAATACATATACTGTGAATACATATTCAACGAATATTATACTATGTGTATAAATATTAGAAAGGGGGTGAGGCGTGTTTGGTGAGGGAGGGGGAACCTGGGAATGAGCGAGGGAATGATTACGTCAGTCAGTCACCCTGGACGAGACCAAGAGAGGGAGGCGCCGCCCAGGTGGTCACGTAGCCATATTGTATTGTTACCAACCCTCTCCCTGCCGCCACCTCGCCTCTGCCAACACCATTACCCTCACCACCTCCATTACCCCCGCCGTCACCATTAACCTCACCCTTACTACCATTACTCTCACCCTTAATACCACCATTACCCTCACCCTTAATACCACCATTACCCTCACCCGTAACACCATTACCCTCACCCTTAATACCACCATTACCCTCACCCGTAACACCACCATTACCCTCACCATTAATACCACCTTCACCGACACCCGTAACACACAACCCTCATCCTTCATACTACCATTACCCTCATCCTTCATACTACCATTATCCTCACCATCAATACCACCATTACCCTCACCCGTAACACCATTACCCTCACCATTAATACCACCTTTACCCACACCCGTAACACCATTAACCTCATCCTTCATACTACCATTACCCTCACCCCTGCCATCATTACCCTCACCCGTCACCCGTAACACCCTCACCATCAATACCACCATTACCCTCACCCCTGCCAGAATGTACACCAATAAGACAGCGAACAGGAAAAGTTTGAAAACATGGAGACGGCGGGAAACGTCCACTCCTGTTGGTTTTTGTTTTTTTTCCGGAAGCGGGTGGCTAGTCAGTGTCCGTCTTCGGCTAAACTCGTAGAAAAACATCCTCACGCAAGACACGACACTAAATATGGAACTCCCAACCACAAAAACTAAATTTTCTTACACACAAGAATGATGACAACAGTAACGCGCTGTAAATACTGCAACAATATTACATCAATACACTACACCCCCCACAAGTGGCCACAACAGGCGATG